CTAGTACAACTTCTGTCAATACTTTCTCTTGGGTATGGTGCAGACATTGCAGTTTTGTAAATGGACACTCACCATATAGGATTTAGCTGGACAGAATGTAAAATGGTGGAGGCCTTGTAGAATGGAATATCAATTATTAGCAACAAGACCCTTTGGGGAAAAATGATAGCTACAATTATGCTTTTGGATTTGTAATCCAGTCAGTTCTGCTTAAAGACTTAACTGGCTAGTCAAATTCTTTTTAGGAATTCTGCCCACAGAAATTCTTATTGTTTAGTAAAATGTTCAGAGAACACTGGCTCAGATTCAGAGTTAACATCTAGGGGGGAAAAAGGATTTGCTAGTTATTGTGTAATGACCTTTATTTAGAATGTTATGTTTTAAACAGAATGTTGCATTATACAGGAAGAACATCAGATTGTACTCTCTCACACACGACCCATTTAAACTTTGCTTTAGATCTAAAACAATGCAAATCTGAGACGGATACAATCAGGTTATTCCAAGTGTGATGGATTGGCTGCTTAATGGTACTTGGAGCTCTGCCAATTTCAAAAGTAAGCTTTATGTTCTTTTTAACTTACAAGTATATCAATATTTACAAAAATGGTGGCTGCTAGCAGAATAGGTAATACTTTAGTAAATGCATTTTATTTTAAATTCTTTCCCCTATACAAAATTAATTTAAACCTGTGTGGAAAGAAACATTTGCATCTGATTCATTTTTTGAAATACAATAGTTAGCACAGTGTTTCTTAAACTGAGGTCTGCAGACCCCTGGTGGTCTGCAAGGGTACTCCAGGGGGTCTGTGGGCCCCACTGATCGACTCTTCCAGCTCCCTCCCTCAACTCCCTCCCCCCCCCCCCCCCGTCCCAGTGCCTTCTGCATGCTTGGGAACAGCTATTCAGCATCGTGCAGGAGGTTCTGGGAGGGAGAGGGAGGAACGGGGACAGGGCGTGCTCAGAGGATCAACTCCTACCCCTCCCTCCCAGCTGTTCCCCGGCATGCAGCAAACACTGGGAGTGAGGGGGAGAAGTGGAGACAGGGTGTAATCAGGGGAGGGGGAGGAAAGAGGCAGGGAAGAGGAGTGGCAGAGGTGGAGAGAGGGTGGGAAAAGGTGGGGCATAGGTGTGGCCATGGGGGGAAGAGGTGGAGTGGGGGTGGGGCCTGGGCTGAGTGGGGGACTTGGGGGTCCTCAACATTTTAAAAATCAAAATGGGGGGTCTTTGAGTTGCTAAAGTTTGAGAACTGCTGAGTTAGCATATTCATTCCCCCTTCTTCTTCCTGCTAATTACAGTTGGCCATATAGCATTTTCTTCTTTAAAATCAAACTTCAAGGTTGAGCTCTGCTTAAAAACTTATGACCCTATAGGGTTCAAACTTTATAAGATTATTGAAAGCTTCAAGATTTTTTTCCACATCAAAATGAAAGTGGGGTGAAATGTTAAGCCCATTTCTAAATGTGCTAACGTTCAAATTTGTCACAGAGTCTTAAACTGAAGGACAGTTGGAAAAAAAATCAGGAAGCATAAAATAATATGGAAACAATTTTTTAATTTTAGTAGCCATCCCATTGAGTATTATCTCAGTTTTACAGATGGGTAAACTATGGCATGGAAAGGTTAAATGACCAGACCATAGCAACATAGAAAGCTAATGTCTGGGTCAGCATAGAAGCAAGATCTCTGGACTCCTTAACAGGAGATCTCCACTAATTACGAGACCACGCTATTTCTTGGCACAAGTGACGGAGGGGACAATTGAGAGATGTGGTGAAAGGGTGGAGCATGCAGAAACAGACATTTTGTGATTTATCCAAATGCTCTTTCTGTGACACTTTTGTAGGCTAGAGTTTTTAACATGGCTACATTACTAACTACTTGGCCATACTAATCAGTTTCTCTTCAAAATGAAACATTGTCACTTCACTAAGACATCAGCAAAGGCAGTTCATACAAGGAGAAAATAAACTGACACACCTTTAACGTTGCTAAAGAGAAAATTCTGGGTTGCTTTCAACACTTTTACAATTACAATTATATCCCAGCTCTTTCCATGTTTATTATTTTACTGTTATTTTATCATTTATTGACTAAATCTGTTATGTAATAATGTTAAGTTTTTGGCAGATTTTGAAATCCATCCTGCTTGAAGAGCCAGTCTGTGTGATTCCTAGCCCACAGCCCAAGATTAAAACATGTCAGCTTGAAAAGGCCATGTCCTCAGCTACATACAGGGCAGCAGAGCTTATCAGGTACGCATGGGGAGCATGGTGCCATCCCAACTGTACCAAAGGGGACTGGCAGCAGACATGCTCCTTTTGTAAGCTGAGGAGCTTTGGGAGGAATTCTGCAGGATTCATCCTGGAGCTCCCCTGTGGGTGATATTATTTTACCCTGCCCAGAAAGAGGACAGTTCCTAAATGGCATGACTGAGCTCTATCTGAAGTTGCAAATTGGATAGTAAGGCGTACAACTGCCCAATTTTCTCATGCAAATACAATTTGTATACCCCATCCAGTGGCTTGCACCAATATAACTGCAGCAGTACAAACCTCAAGTATACATTCATTCACCAGTATAAAAAAGTGACTTGCACTGGTAAAATTTACCTCTTTGACTCCCAGGTAAACTTCTTAAATCATTTAAGCCTTTAATCCAGGGACTCTTGGGCACTGAAAAGTAAGGCTGCAAAAGAAGTAGTCATATAATTTTCATAGATTATAAAAGGGACTATTGTGATTATCTAGTCTGACCTTCTGCATAACACCAACCATATGACTTTTTGAATGAAATCCTTTTTATGACGGAGCATATCATTTAGAAAAAACATCCAATCTTGATTTTAAAATCACCACTGATGGAGAATCTATCACAGCCTTTGGTAAATTGTTCTAATGGTTAATTATCCTAAAAATTTGCACTTTATTTCTAGTTTATGTCCAGCTTCCAACCATTGGATCTTGTTATACCTTTTTCTACTAAATTGAGGAGCCATCTATTATCAAATTTCTGTTCCTCATGTAGGTACTTATAGACTGGTACTTAACAAGGAGAAGTTAATAAACTAAACAGATTGAGGTTCTTGAGTCTTTCACTATGAAGCATGTTTTCTAATCTTTTAATCATTCTCCTGGCTCTCCAGTTTATCAACATCCTCTTGAAATGTAGATGCCAGAACTGGACACAGAATTCCAGTAGTGGTTGCACCAATGCCAAATACAGAGGTGGTAATACCTTCCTACTCAAAATCTCCCTGTTTCTAATCCAAGGATTGCAGTAGACCTTTTGCCCATGGCTTCACACTCAGAACTTATTTTCAGCTGATTATCCAACCAAGTCAAAGGAGTCACACAAATTTGGATGCTGGAGTTGGTTCAGCCTAATAATTTGAAAATAAGGCCTTATTTTGGGACATTACAGAAAACTACAGTAAGAGAGTGGATTATATGACAAAGGCTTCAGCCATTACTATCTAAAACGTTTCAAAAGTAGTTTTGATCTCTGAGCTCTGGTCATATGGAATTTGCGTTATACTTAATTCACAGTAAAGAGCTACCTTTGTAACCATTGCAAGTGTCCCAGTCTTTGAAAATGAGGGTCATTTGAGATATATAGCAGATTTGCTTTACAGGGATTTGTCTATTTTTGTTCTAATTTAGTAAAAACAACCCCTGTAATTTGAATGTGTAAGTCATTGTTAGAACACGAAGAAAGCAAACGAGAAAGAGCTTTCCTTTCATGCAGAAAGAAGGACATGGTACCTTATAGCTTCTGCTTAGCAGCACTGTGAAAAGTGAAGGTGCTATAAATCTCCAGTATTACTCACGAGAGATGCTGTACACTCTTTTCAGCTTGATCTTTTCCCACAGAACTGGGTGATTTTTTTTTTTTTATGTGGGCTTGGAATGCTGATGTGATTCTTTGAGGCTGAGCTAATGAACTGATGCCTACTGCTGACTAGCATTTCTTTTCAGATCACATCCTCTATTTTGTATGGAAAAATGTGTTTTGTATGGAAAGATATTTGTTTAATCCTTCGAAGGCCTCCAGCTCCTCACTGTACTTTTTAACTGCCACTTTATTTGCAGCATATGGTTTGGGTCACTGATCAAAGGAATCACTGAAATTATTAAATCAACAGGGCAGAAACATGAAAGGAAAAAGTTAAGAGTTAGGCATATTTCCAGTTTCAGATTCTACACTCTTCTGTGACTCCCACTCCATGTAAAAAGTGCCCTTGAATTGTTTAGTGTGACTCTCTGAAAGATAAACTCTACCAATCATAGGTGTTGGAACTATGGGTGCTGGGGTGCTGCAGAACCCCCTGGCTTGAAGTGGTTTCCATCATATACAGGGTTTACAGTTTGGTTTAATGGCTCTCAGCACCCCCACTATTCAAATTGTTCCAGCACCCCTGGTACCAGTGAGCTGTCCTGGACATGAAGCAAAATGTGTATGGCAACAATGCTGAGAAGACACTTTAAAATCCCATTAAGAGCTCAAGGAACAGGATTGCTGACTGCCTGAATAAAAATGTGACAGGACAGATCAGCTTATTACTTTCTGGAGATAGGTAAAATTATCAGTGATGCAATACTAATCTGACAGATGCACTCAAAATAACTATTGCCTTCTCCTAGCAGATAATATCAATCTTTACCAAGCTGGGGCTTTGCTTATGTAACACATGAAAAAGCACAGGCCACCAATGAAATTAGGGAATTTTTGAGTGGCAACTGACATTATCTCAAGGCACTTTTAGATGCTTGCTTCTAGAATTTTTTTTCAAGGCTAGTTTCCTCCCCTTCTCCTTATGTTGGTTAGGCCTCCCACCTCATTGGCTGCAGGAAACCACTAGAATGAGAGAAGGCTAATATAAATAAACACTTTGGTGACACTGGGCCGCTGTGTCTTTTAAGCCAAACTTCTCAACCATTCTCTTTGTCAGGCTGTCATGTAATCAACATCCTAATACTCTTCTCTTTCATATTTTTAGATGTCTGTCAACTTGGTATCTGAGCACAGTTGTGAAGAAACAGAGAGTTCAAGGCAACTGGCTTTTTTTTTCTTGTCCCTGCCTCAGACAAAATAAAATAAGAGACTTCAGCAGCTGCATGGATTTTCATGGCACAGGTGCATCCTGACTGTGAAGCAGGCTTTCAGAGCCTCCACTGCACAGGTACTGTGAAGCACTGATGTGGGTTTATGTTGCATGGTTGTTCGGTGAATAATTGTACTTTAATGTCATGGTGCATTTTATTTATGCCGCTGTAAGCAGTTGATTTTAGTAGTAGGGGTTATATTCCCATCAGCAGTGAGAGAATTAATGTGGAAGGGTTCGTTGGTTCTGCCAGCCCTGAAGTGGCCAGAATTGGGGGTAATGCCTCCTTTGTCTGTGAATTAGGCATCACTTCATCTTTAGTGTAGAAGAGGGTGGATTCCACAGGTAGACCCAAACTCTTTTGAAAAGATTCAGAGGTTGTCTTGTACTGTAGTCTGGTCTTGTTAGGCCTTCGAATAGCTGTGGACCTTTAATTAAGTTGCAAGTCTTTGAATAATGTAAACCTGGTAGTACTGTGAGATAAGTGGGTTGGGTTAATCCTTGGAAGTGCTATGGCGCTTTGGACTTGAGCATCAAATATAAAGGAAGGCCAGTGTCAACTCTGGGAGGCTGTTGCTTTAACTTCTGTCACTGCTGTCTGTACATGTTGCGTTTAGCAGTTATTTTGCTTTAAATTAAATGTTTAATTACACATAAAAACTACATTAAAGGAACATTATTAAGGTTGCAAAGTCAAGCAATCAAATAAGGATATGCCAGAATTGTGGTTGCCTGGGCAGCCTCAGTTTGGGCTGTCTGCATGTATGCATTATGGTACAATCTTTAATTGCATGATCACATATTATTTTTTCCACAAGACCTTGCCCCATTGAGGAATCTTGGGCTATATTCCAGGCTGTGGACAACAATGCTGTCTTGTAGTCACAGATGCTTCTGCTGCATCCACTCCAACCTATCTCTTTCCAACCCCTGGCTCCTTGTCCCATGCCCATTCTCTTCTCTAGTCAGTACCATGCTCTACACCCATTCTCATCCCACTCCAGAATTCTCATCCCAGTCTATTTGCCCAACAAGTTCTAATCTCTCCCTCTGGACTTGCCATCCAAGTCCCAGTCTCTCTTCCTTGCCTCTGCTGTTAGTCGCAGTCTCCTTGCCCAGCCAGTTCCAGTCTCCTCACCTAGCTGCTCATCCAATCTTTTCTTTTCTCCCTTTCCCTAGGCCTCCAATTAGGCCCCCTCCATGTTCCCTAGTCACATTGGATCCCTCTTGGAGCTCTTTGTCCAATTTCATTGCTTCCCTCTCATCAGCTCCTTGTGTCAGTCTTTTTGCCCAGCCAGTCCCAGTTCTCCCCCAACCTGAAATCTCACTTTCCCTCTTCCTGGCCCCCCAGGATCCAGTCCAAGTCTCTTGCCCTCTCCCCCAGCCTCCTTGTCTCACTCTACTCCCCCACTATTACTTTTTTGTCCCCTCTGCATTCAAATTAGGCAACTTCCTCCTTCACGCTATTTTGGCCCAGCAGTTTGGCATTTAGAACATGGGATAGACAGACTCCCTGTCTGCAGCAGTCCAGAGTAGCAACCCAGGCTGAAGCATGTGCAGTGTAAACAGAATCTTTGGATATTTTAGCTGTTAAACTCACAAGTCTCTGCTGAGCATGTGCAAATTGGGATTTTTCAAAGGGTTACAACTTGGTCAAATTCAAGTGCATTTTCATGGGGATGCTAAAAGTCACATCCCTGATACAAAAGCTACCCCCTGTCAAATTTAAAGCCCCTCCTCTAAAGTATGGAGGCACTAGCACTTTCCAATGAAAATTTCACTAGAATTTTTTAACATGGGCAAAACAACATATATTTCCCACTAGCCTAATTCTTAGACACAGCTGAACTATTTTGGCTGAAAATTCCCTTAAAAAATCATCATGAGGTAAGCATTCAGCATTGAAAATGTCAGTCCAACTGGGTAAAGTTTGACAAAGTTATAGGCAACTGAAAACAGGGTCTTATAATGGGAAGTGTTAGGGAACTTTAACGGTAAATTATGCTACTAGCCCTGCCCATAATGTAGTCCCTACAAGATTCTAACTTCCTGTTTCCATCCTCATTTGCAATCCTGCCATTTGCAACACACAGTTTTTCTAACCTGTACTTGGTATTTCTCCAAAGAACAAAGTCAATCTCTAATTGCTCATCTTAGTTATTATTCTGTTTTAATGTTAATTGCATAACTAATAGTATTCCATTCCTGCTGTCCTACTTGTGAATTGTATCTCCATTTGAAATCAGTTTCTGTGTATAAGCGAAGGACTGTAGTTTGTAGTTTGCACTTTTTAGATTTCAGAGTAGCAGCCATGTTAGTCTGTATCTGCAAAAACAACAGGAGTACTTGTGGCACCTTAGAGACTAACAAATTTATTAGAGCATAAGCTTTCGTGGGCTACAACCCACTTCTTCAATTATGCATCCGAAGAAGTGGGCTGTAGCCCACGAAAGCTTATGCTCTAATAAATTTGTTAGTCTCTAAGGTGCCACAAGTACTCCTGTACTTTTTAGATTGTTATTCACATACATTAGGTTTGGATGACTCTCACTTTACAATTTTCCTGTAGAGTATATCTATCTATTATAAGGTCTATGGCTGGGAAAGCTAACAAGAGCCTCATGACAAGTAACTGGAATGCAAAATTTAGTCATTTCATTGATTGTTCATGAGTATTCAAGTGTGACAAATAAAACTGATCTAGTTCAAGACTAACCCCGCTATTGCAAAAATATTATTTACATGCCTAAGAAAAATTCTGTTTACTCACAGACCCTGGACAATATTGTATAAAGTATTTCAGTTGGATAAGGTATTCTTAATTTCTGTGGTATAATGTTGTCTTATACTGTTAGCTTTATTTAGTTGTGGGTAAGTCATTCCAATGTATTGGGCGTAGTTGGCATATCAGTTTAAGGTTGACTAGCATTCTTTTGGGATGAAAGGTGTTACAGAAATTCAAACAGTTGCTATTTTTCCGTGATTTGGTTCACTAACACGTTAGCCTCTCTTATAATTGGACTCTTCCTCAACTGTAAGAATAAAATATAGGCTGTATTTCTGTACTAGGTTGCGTACTGTCATTTGTAACTTAACTCACATTAAAAGTCATTTATTTGTTTTTATTATTATTTATGTAATAGTAGCACATAGTCACTCCAACTGAGATCAAGACCCCATCGTGTCAGGGGCTGTACAAATACCTGATGAGTGATAGTGCTTGCCTAAAGGAGGTTACAATGTAGAAAAAACAGACAAACAATAGGAGGGAAAACAGAAGCACAGCCTGGAGAAGTGACTTGCCTGAGTGGCCATCCTGGAAATAGAACCCACGGTATCTGACACCCAATCTAGTGCCCTATTCACTACACCACACTGCCTTCCTTTCCCATCTTCCATTTAAAATCTTTACTTGGGTGTCAATTCCTGTATGTAGTTAATGTCCCATACTGTAATGCACAAGAAAATGAAATGTTTAATTTCTGTGCATTGCCAGTGGAAGATTGTATCATTCATATTGTGCTAAGAGCCACAAAAATTAAATTTCTATAATCCAACTTTGGCTGCTCCATTCTTTTCTCAAATATTTGGATAGCTGTTGGCAGGACATAGCTGTTACTGTAGCTCATATCTGGTAATATGAAACATGAGACATTAAACTGAAGAGATTTCCTGGGTGAATAGTGAAGTACTGTTGGAAACATACTTGTCCTCAAGCTCTTCTGCCATTGATATAGCATGAAGAAGCTTGGATTTTCAAATTATGTTCCTGTCACAGGGTCTGCTACTTGGCAGCACCTCCTATTGGCCCACCTGGAGAATTTGCTTGCCACTGTCCACGCCCCACCAGGCAGTCACTCATAAGAACAGCCATACTGGGTCAGACCAAAGGTCCATCTAGCCCAGTATCTTGTCTTCTGACAATAGTCAATGCCAGGTGCCCCAAAGAGAATGAACAGAACAGGTAATTATCCAGTGATCCATCCCCTGTTGCCCATTCCCAGCTTCTGGCACTCAGCCTGTTGCCTCCATCATTCGCTCTGCAGCCTTCTTTTATTGGTCAGGAGCTGGTCATGAAGTCTCTTCTTCATGTTTTAGCCTTCTGGCCAAGTGACCATTGTCCTCCCCTTCTGGGGTATCATCAGAGTCTCCTTCCTTGGAGTCTGACAGTATCCATCTCCACTATGCAGACTGTACCACTCTTGCAGCGGCTGGTGGGGGAACCCAGGCCTGCCCTTTACACTGGGTTCCAATTTAGGACCCTCAAACTCGCAGTTCATGTCTATCTCTCTCAGACCTTACTGCTCGTTCCCTGGACTGCTTCCTACCCTGCCCTTTCTCAGCCTCCTATTCTCCTCTTTATGTCAGGGAATGTGATTGCAGACTCACCTTACTGCTGCCCCCTGCACTGGTCTATGCTTTATAGAAGCCCCATCTGTTCCTGCCCAGGTGAGCTTCATTCTCAATCAGTCTCATTGCCCCTTAGCTCCCCAGCAGGTGCAGCTTCGGGCTAATTGGACTCTCTTGCCCCTTTAGCTCCATCTGTGCTAGTGTGGGGTTAACGCCCCATCATAGTTCCCTTTTAAAGAATGAAAATTAATGTAAAGATGACCACTTACATCGTATATTGAATACTCTAGTTAATTTCATAACAAGATCAAGGCCACATATTTACTGCATTATGAGCACATGATGAGTTGAAGGGAAAAGTACATTTAGTACTGTACAAGTGTGTGAGTTTGGGGATCATTTCTTGGCCAACTGGAATGTCTGTTAATGCTTAGTGTTAGGGAATAGTTTCGGTGGTTCTGTGGTGTATTTTTTTTTTAAAACCACAATTTCTGTAGCAATTACACAGCAGACAGCTTTACTGGTTACCACACAAGCACAGAGATTTTGTTAGCCATCTTTATTCAATTGCTTTTTATCCAGCATAACCAGCACTAAGATAACAGGAAACAGGACAGTTTTTTTGGCCTTATAAATCAAGCAGCTGATGGGGGTTAGAGAGAGGGTGGGCCAGGCTTGTTTACAGGTGAGACCAAATTTAACATGGGACTCTTAGGTTTGCTGCACCT